GCTTTAATTGAGGATGGAAGCTTCAATTATTTATGTTCCAGGCTGCAGTGCTTTTGCTTTTCAACAAGACAGAAAGATTAAGCTACAATGAGATGTTGGAACAGCTTAACCTTAGCCATGAAGATCTTGTGAGGCTGCTTCACTCACTGTCATGCGCAAAGTACAAGATTCTTAACAAGGAACCAAACTCAAAAAGCATCTCAAGAACCGATGTTTTCGAATTCAACTCCAAGTTCACCGATAGAATGTGGAGAATTAAGTTAACTATATGAGTAAGAGCATCATTGTGTTCTTTTCATGTCTCTCGGATTATATAAACAAAGACTAATGTTGGAGTGAAATTGGGAAAACAGGTCCCTCTTCCTCCAATGGATGAGAGGAAGAAAGTAGTTGAAGATGTTGACAAAGATAAGACGCTATGCGATTGATGCATCTCTAGTGAAGATCATGAAGAGTAGAAAAGTGTTTGGGCCATCAACATTTAGTCTCTGAGTGTGTTGAGCATCTCAGCCGAATGTTCAAGGTAAATATACAAAACTCGATGGACACAACAATTACAATAAACATCAAGATTAAGAAGGAAATTTCATTTTTTGGTTTTCTTTTGCAGCCTAATATAAAGATGATAAAGAAACTGATTGAGGATTTGATCAGCAGATATTATTTGGAGAGGGATACCACGTATTATAAATCTACCACTACTACAAATAAGTCTATCACATATTATAAATCTACCACTACTATAAATAAGTATACGATTGCGAACCATCAATAAGTCTACCAACCACTTAATAAATCTACCAATCGCAAATAAATCTACCATCACATGAACGGTAGACTTATTCGCTTTTACTGCTTCATTAATGGCAGTTCGTAAATACGTTTTTTGTCTTCAAAGAAAATAAAACTAAAATGGATATAATAAAGCTTTGAAAGTTGTTTGAGTAATTATGAAAGATTAGCATCCTTTTTGGTCAAAAAACCATTTTTCAAGGTTGTTTTAGTAAACCTCCCAAATCATAATGTAATTGGTAAATATTTGTTGTAAACTGCATAATATTTTTTACTTTGTAAATTACATGGTATCAAGCTTCCTTCTTGCCTAGTTTTTGGTTTTCTCTAACATTGTCACACAAACAAGGTCGGAGGAACTTGTCAAAGCATAAGCTGTTAGTTTCTCGATTTATTCTACTCACACATCTCATGATCGGCAAGTTCATGATTTTCAAGAGTGTTTTGCATTACATGGATATCCGGAGTGGTGGTACGGTAAGTCCAACTCAGCTCGTGATGGACAGCTTCCTTGTGGCGGTTATTCGAATTGTCGTGATGACATTTCTTGAGCTGGAAATCGTGGGAGAGGGAGATCGAATAATCACTTCATCAATCTTTTCTCAGTCATATGATATTGAGATGTAGCATACAATGTCACCGAGACTTACAAAACTAGGTCATATCAAATTGCTACTACCTTGATCAATCTTCTCCATACCAAACCAAAATAGGGTCCAAATGGTTTCAATAAGTGGAAAAAGAATAACTTAAGTTGAAAAAATTGGAAGTGGAATAAGTTTGAATGAATATTTTTGTTCCACTAGTTCCTCTCTTATTTTGGAGGAATATTTTCCTCTTAACTTTTTTGGGTGGAATGAGTTGAATGACTTTTCAAAAAATTTCAACCCAAATGGTAACAATTTATAGGAATGTTCAATTTCACCAATTTTATTCCTCTAATAGTGCAACCATTACCCAAGCATTATAGCACCCTATTGTGAAAAAATTATGGAAGAATTCTTAATAGACCTAAACCCAAAAAACTAATAAACCATGTCTTGCACACCAGTCTCAGCCATCTTCTCCAAATCTTCTTGTGTTAACAGAGTTTTCTTGCCCATCGTACCCGCCTTATCGTACGGTTGAGCCATTTTCCTTAGAAACTGCAGAAACAAACCAAACTTCTTAACAACTAAATTCTAAATTCTTATGATTTCTTTATCTGTGAAACAAAAATAGTAGTGAATTTTAGGTTTACCTCTCGGGCAATGTGGATAGCCATGTCAGTGCTAAGATTCAAGTGCGCATCACGCAGATGTGAAAGTATCCAACCGGGTAATTTGGACCGCTTATCATGGCGGCTATATCTGCAAGTTTAAACATCAATGGCAATTTATTATTAGACCAAGATAAGCATATTTGTCTCTGTTCTGTCCTAAGAATTTCTTCCCATTTGTAAGTAACAAGGTGGCATGATCTTCTACTCTCAAGGTAAATACATATAACGCATAGAGAGAATCACATTTAGTAAATAGCAAGAACCTAATGATCAGACTTGGAGAGAGACTTTTAAGGACCATGTATATACCTCTTGTCTGCAAATATCATCATCCCATAATCAGCCTTTGACCGGATTACTCGTCCTACACATTGAGCTGCCTGCCTCTGTTTCGTGGCAAAAAAGTGAATAGCAGTTACAGACTGGTGTAACATTTGCACTAAAACATGATAAGATCATAGAATTAGAATCAAACCAAGGCATCAAAAGTTAGGAAATCGCCTTCTTTTATTTGAAATGTATCACGCAAATACTCCAATCTTGCTAGTAATATCCTGAAATTTTTCACGTCTTCGTCTTAGAATTTACCACTGATCACATATGACAAAGTATGGAAGCAAAAAAACTTGGAAAGGGATCAACATTTGTTTTTAGTAAAACTTACTTGCTTAATGTGTATTGGAAAGGTACTCCAAACATTACAACCAGTCTTCCATAATGACGATCAAAATCGATACCTTCAGCAACTTTTCCCCTGCCATTCAAATACTTGTGATCACTCTCTTTGAAATTTCCAAACGAGGTGGATCCATATAATACATAACGACAGAATAAAAGAAGCAGAACCAGAAATTTCTTGCCATGAATTCCCAAAACCATCTCGCAGTCAAAATCATTAGTTTACCTTGCTACAGAGAAGAAAACTGCACCTCGTCCGCGATCGCAAGCCCTGCGATAATTGTCCAGTGCCAATGTTGTTTCTACAACATCTTGCGTTTCAATGAAGACAAGTTTCTGTTGCATTATTTCCTACATAAAATTAAGAGCATTAATTTCAGTTAATGCAAAAAAATGTGAAAACAAGTATATAGTAATGCTTGTAGCATCACGGTCATCGTAGGAAACAAGTATACATTAAAAGCAACTACAAATATATTATAATATCATATAAAGATTTCCACTTCATGCAAAACTGTGAAAATAATCCTGTTACCTTCAGAATTCCAGTTTCACTCCATGTAGCAATAATGCCATCCATGTATGAGTAACTAACAAAGAAGCAGACAACTCCATCAGGAACAATAGATACCATCTCCACCAAAAACTTCCCATAATTCCTCACAACACCAGGATCACTTCTCATGTCAAATTTGGTGCTAACAGGAAGCTGGTCACTGAAAAAGCAAGAAAAATAATCAATATTGTAGATACATAAACGAAAAACATTTAGGTCAGTGTTTAGGATCCTTGTGTTTATAAACATGCATACCTTCCGCGAGTTAAAACCATAGGGCAGATGCAGTCTCGTGTCATTGACATCTTAAAGCTTCGACTAACAACAGGATTGAAACTAAGTAGACGGGGATACAGATCAATTGGGCTCAGGGTGCCTGAGGTAATCACAACTGATTGGAATCGATCAAACACCGGTTTAATAGCCAGAGATGCATCATGACAGCTCAACTAAGATACAAAAGGAGATATATTTCAGATACATTTCTCAACAGACATTCGAACGGTACAATTTACATTTGAGTCACAATATCTCTGAAACCAGAACAAAACGTACTGACCTGCAATATAGGATCTGGAATATGAGGCATTCTCTCGTCGTAAGGCTCAATGATGATGGAAAAGCCCCTTGCATATGTCCCAACAAGAGTTGCAAAGTCGCACACTGTCTGGATAGGCAAAAACTCATCTGTATCTGTAATTTCAAGGGTTAGCATGAGAGAGTGGAGCCGGTCATAACAGAACTTCAGAGTTTTCTGCTCAATTCCAGCCTGAGAATTAAGCGACGATACAAAGTTAACAGGGCTTTCTTTCTCCACGTTCTCAGTATCCAGCCGTCCTCCCAAGTACTGAAGTAATCGGCGTAAAACATGTACAAAATGCTCAGCCCGTCTAATATTTCCTGGGACAGCCTCCTTTAGAATATCATGGGGCAGTGCAGGGTTTGCAAGCCATTGATCAGTTCCTGCATAAAAACATATTTGTTGCGTCACAATCGTAGAATCAACCAAACCATGTATCTCCTTTCTGACGATATACTTACCAGATAAGTCCCCTCTCAGTGCCAAACCTTCAACGAGCCGGTTGTATTCAGCTCGCAGTCTTCCCGCATCTGTAGCCTTGAACCTTCCTACCGGTTAGACAATTTTAATAGTGTGATAAGAATTTAAAATAAATATCAGCAAACTACCAGGCTAGTCCCTTTATTGAACCAAGACAATAATGCACCATAGGATCACCAAACAAGATAGCCATGTGCATCAAGTTGCTGACAATAGCAATAGCAATTGCAATTTTATGTTTCTCACTTTCAGTTCTTTGAGAAGAAGCAATCTCATAGAAGCAGATCTTTTTGTTACTAACTTAAAATTCAAGATTAGTTCTTAGAGTAAGCAGACACCCATTTGAGATTCAAGAACTAGCAGGAAATTCTGAAAAAGAAAAGACCCTTTCATCTATGTTATTACTGTATTTAAGAGTGGCATGCTCAAGCGAAGGTTAAGAGTATCAGCTATGCAGGAAAAGAATAGCGTACCTATCAATTTCTTGCCTTATCTTATTAAGATTTCGATTAGCACCTTCAAGTGTAACCCTCCTCACACTGACGCTGAGTGCTTCAATACACACATTATCTATATTATGCGCCTCGTCAAACACTACAACTGACTCTTTTTGCAACTCCTTTGATATAATTCCAGCAACCTTAGGATCCAGCAAGTACTGGTAGCTATAAACGATAACATTGGCGAACTGAACCATATGTCTCGCAAGGAAGTAAGGACACCATCCTCGATTCTTACCAAACATTCTCAAATCCTAACATCGAAAAACATTCACCATCAGCCAAAATGTGCAAAATAAAACCTCGAAATAGGTTCTGAATTCAAACACCATTCGAAGCTGAGACGTAAAAATGATCCAGGAAAACTCAAACTTATTTAAAAATCTTACCTCTAAAGTATAAACACCAGGAGGCAATAAGGCATTCTCAGCTGCCTTATCATGGTTCTCAAAGTAGTCACAGAGTTCTACATTTTTATTCTCGGCCGCCAAAGTTCTAACCCAACTAGCCGTCCTTTTCCTACAAGCCGCATCGACAGAATCACGATTCTCCGCCGCTAAAACCTTAGGATTAACGCAAAGATTCTTCCGGGAAGAAAGACCAATCGCTAGGATCTTGGCCTGGGCACCGAGTTGGCTTACTTGGTAGTCATGAAGCACCTTAAGCTCAGCTAACGTTTTCTCCATCTCGTGAACAGTACGAGTGCAGTAGACAAGCTTGATCGGAGAATCAGGACGAGAGAGTCGGTAACTGGTGATTAGAGAGAGAAGGGCAATGGTTTTACCAGTTCCGGTAGGCATCTCGAGAAGACAATGTCCCTTAGCGTCTAGGGCTCGTTTCAATTCAACCATGTATTCGTATTGTTCTGGATATATATTCTCATAAGGGAAGTAGACAGTTACGTCTTCGATCTTGAAGATCATCTTCTTCCTCCTGCGAAAGACCTAAAAAATCGAAATTTGTAGAACAACTTAGAAAAACCCTAAAACTCGGAGGATTCACTTCATCAAAATCAAACAAGCGATTCGAGTTCGAG